TGATGTGTACATGGACAAAGTGAAGGGAATGCACAATGTAAGTTTGTGCAATTCTTGGATTTTTTTTAAGTGAAAATAGGTCGACGTGTACATGGATAAAGTCAAGGGAGTGCGCAATGCCATTTTTATGCAATTCGGGGAATTTTTGTTTTTTAAAGTGAAAATAGGTCGATGTGTACATGGATACCGAGTTTGTGCAATTCTTTGTCTTGTTATTTTGGCTTTGTGTAGCTGCGATTTTTGAGCAAAAATCGCAAGTCAAAATGATGCAGTCAAATCAATTATTATGCAAGTCAAAATAATAAGTCAAATAATAAGTGATTATGATTTATTAAAATAAATAATAAGTGATTATGCAAGTCAAAATAATTAGTCAAAAAATTGCACAAACTCGGTATCCATGTACCGCCAAAAATTGGAAAGGGGTACCCTAAAATATACTTTCACCTTTTTTTTTTTATTATGATTAATTAAGAATTATTCAATGCAGAAAGCTCTGTAACAGCTTCCTTATATATATGATTATATTCTTCAGCAGCAATATATCTTGAACATATTGTTAGGACTGTCACTACAATTTCAGGTTACATTTCAAATTAATATTTAGGCTATCATTAGTGTTTAGTGACAACTGTTGTCCATACACATACAAGTTCCGTAATTTTTCAATTTTTGTGATTACCAGAGTTAAAAATAATAGGTTAGAGTTGACTTTAGGACCCCTTGTATTATCATGAAATTGTTGTTTCATTTATCGCGAAGTTGTTGTCTCATTTATGACAACCTGAGTAGTTGAATGCTATGGAAACCCTATTATGACGTAATTGGTTGTGGTGAATTTGAATCATGAGAAAAAATTTAGAAAGTGTATGTTGGATTTTGGGTAAGGGGTTGTGTGTAATAGATTAGTATGTTGTTATTTTGTGGTTTACACAGTAAATTGGCTGAATGTGGCAAGATTAATTTGAAGTTTCTGTAGGATTTGGAACAAAAGGGAAAAAAGCATTAATTGACTGGTGTGTAAATGACGGTTTATTTAGTAGCTATTATTAAGTATCCTGTTTGAAGGAAGGAAATGCGTATGGTCGAACATCGGATATTTTCGAACGGAGGATATTTTTTACTCTTAGTTTTGTGATATTATGTGGCGACACCAGAATACAGATTCTAGTTCAGATAATTTTTGGAAGTATTTGGATGCTGTTAAGGAATTTTGTTTGACTGAAGACTAGTAAATTCGTAAATACGGTAAGTGGATATTTTCTTCGTGTAGTGCTAAGATGAATTTCCTTTTTTACGCTATTTCATTGTTTGATTTAAAATGTAGTTTATTGAGATTATATATCTTTTGTTGGCTGCTCCTTTGACTTTTGAAGTGAATATAGTTTGGTGTGTACATGGACAAACTGAAGGGAGTGCACGAAGTATAGTTTGTGCTATTCTATGATGTTTTTTCAAGTGAAAATAGGTCGATGTGTACACAGATAAAGTCAAGAGAGTGCGCAATGCCATTTTTTTTTTTTTGCAATTCTGGGATTTTTTTTTTAAGTGAAAATAGGTAGATGTGTACATGGATACTGAGTTTGTGTAATTCTTTGTCTTGTAATTTTGACTTTGTGTAGCGCCCTTTCCTTTGTGTATTTTTGCGCCAAAAATCACCATTACGCAAGGCAAAATAGCAAGACAGAGAATATCACAAACTCGGTATCCATGTACCGCCAAGTTTCGCCAAGGGTTACCCTAAAATATACTTTTACCAAATAAGACTTCTACATTGTATCAAAATAGCAATTCTTTATAAACTCGTGATCTTCCTGTAAGAAATAAAATGAACATAAATTTACAATTAAATCGCATAACTGATCAAAATCTTGCAAACATACAGAATTTTCTAATTTTGTCTTTTCACACGTAAAAGAATCCCATCTTGGGACACTTCTGCACATGAAAAATCATGACCAAAAAAAAATAAAAAAAATACCATTACTATAAAATATGGTACTTACGTACTATCACAACCACCTTAGTAGGAATTTGAAAATTTTCAGAAGTCGCCAAACTATGGCAACCCCGTGCTTGACAGTTCTTTATCCATGAACCATATCCCTTGATAGTTACAGTCTGAAAATTCACCAATTTCCTTTTTTCTTCAGTAAAAAGACACCAAACTGAGTCAAGGTGGTTACGCTAACACATAAGTACTTAAAATATACCAATTACTTACTATAATAAAGTATAATGGCCCAACTCTGAATACTGGTATTTCAACATGGTTTCGAATTCCAGCAGATGAGGTGGCTGCATAAGTTACACCCACAAGTAACGAAAATAAATGCCAGTTTCCTTAGAAAAATCCTTCAAAAACTATCCCCTTCCCTAGGATACTTTGCCTTAATGAATTAACGGCTGATCTTTGGAATATGGTAACTGGTAGTTTGGCGATATTTTGGAGGCGACAAAGGTTACATCCTAGGACTTTGGTAATAATGTGAGAAATTCTCAGTTCCGATTATGCATTATTTTGTGTGAGGGAAATGAGAGATCATGAGATGTGTCATGTGACATTAATGGACGAATTACAGTTCTTTAATCAGAAAAGGGGGGGGATTTGGAAAACTGTAGTACAATATTATTTTGTATTAAGTTCTTGTGTTTTGTGTGAAATAGTGGAAGTGTGTGTGCCCGTAATTCTGAAGATTAGGTAAGTTAGTATTTTTAAACATTTGAGGATATTATTTTTATGCATTGTTCTAAATGTAAGGAGTAAATAAATTAATATAATTATTGGAAATTGTTATTAGCAATGATTTAGTTTAAAGAATTAGGCTTTTAATCTAATTTTTATTAATTTAATGTATGTGCTTATTTATATTTTAAGTAGTGTTTTTAATTTAATTATATTTTAATTTAATGATCATGATTTCGTGAGTTATATGTTTGTAGTATTTTGGAATATGTTTGAGTAGAATACGTCGAGTATTTTCATACATTTTCGTGAAATTTTTCTAATTTATGAGAAAAAAGCAGTGTACATGGATATAGTGAAGAGTGTGCGCAATGCCATTTTTGTGCAATTCTGGGATGTTGTTTTAAGTAAAAATAAGTCGACGTGTACATGGTTTAGTGATATTTTAATTAAATGATAGTTATTTTGTGAATTTTATGTTTGTAGGAATTTGGTATACGTTTCAGTTGAAGTAAACGTGCATGGAAGTAATTTAAATACTTGACACTAAGTATTTGTAACCATTTGTAATGTTTGCAGTATGAATTCGTGGGTGACGTTTATAATATAATAGATAATTTAGAGGTAAAAGTTTTTGGATATTTTATTTATTTTATACGTGGAAGTGTTCATCTTTGGAAAGTGTATATACTTTTTGCGATCAGGTAATTTCATATATGTTCTTTTTACCGGATTTAAAGATTCACAAAATTTTCATGCATTTTCGTGAAATTTTTCTAATCTATGAGAAAAAAGCAGTGTACATGGATATAGTGAAGAGTGTGAGCAATGCCATTTTTGTGCAATTCTGGGATGTTTTTTTAAGTAAAAATAAGTCGACATGTACATGATTTAGTGATATTTTAATTAAATGATAGTTATTTTGTGAATTTTATGTTTGTAGGAATTTGGTATACATTTCAGTTGAAGTAAACGTGTATGGAAATAATTTAAATATTTGACACTATGTATTTGTAACCATTTGTAATGTTTGCGGTATGAATTCGTTGGTGACGTTTATAATATAATAGATAATTTAGAGGTAAAAGTTTTTGGATATTTTATTCATTTTATACGTGGAAACGTTCATCCTTGGAAAGGGTATATACTTTTTCGCGATCAGGTATTTTCATATATGTGCTTTTTACCGAGTTTAAAGATTCACAGAATTTTTTTGCATTTTTGTGCAAATTTTTGTAATTTTTGAGAAAATAGCAGTGTAGATGAATAAAGTTAAGAGTGTGTGCAATGCCATTTTTGTGTAATTCTGGGATGTTTTTTTAAGTAAAAATAAGTCGACGTGTAAATGGTTTATGTGTATGTGCTATTCTGAAAAACGCGCAAGGAGTTTGCGATTGTGCACTTTTTCCTAATTTTGCAGTTAATATTTGTCATGATTAAGCAGTTTTGTTACATAAAATTTCTAGCATAAGTGTAATTCAGTTAGTAGATTGTTCGAAAAAAGTGTTCAGTAAATAAAAAGAAAAGAAACATGTCTTTACTTCGTGAAGACAAAATGGCGGAGAAAAAAAAAAATAGAGGGTTGCTGTAGCAAAGTTGGTCGCCAAATTTTCGCCAAAAAATCGCCAAGTTACCATAATCCAAAGATCAAACGAATTAACCAACCAACCATGAAACATATGTGAATATATTGAAGAAATTCTTCCTTTATTATGCCTATACCATAACAAAACTGATTTAAGAACATACAAACCATTCACCTTTAAAATACAGAAGCACATGAGATCTATAAATGTAATTCATCTTCTTTGATTTTCTGGCTAAAGTGCAGAATCGACCTCTTTTTTGTTTGGCGCTTTTTACAAGAGCAAGAAGAATTGGATTTTTGTCAATTTTCTTTGACTTTTTAAGTGAAAATAAGTCAATGTGTACATGGATAAAGTCAAGGGAGTACACAATGCCATTTTTGTGCAATTCTGGGATGTTTTTTTAAGTGAAAATAGGTTGATGTGTACATGGATACCGAGTATGTGCGATTCTTAAAAACGTGCCAAGCAGTAGGCGATTCTGCACTTTCTAGGACTTTCTTTTCTCTAACTTTCTGTAAGAACATATTATATAATACATATCAATTACAAAGTATATGTCAATTTACAGTTTAAAGGCTTCCATTATATCAGTTTAAAGAACAGAAAATCAAAAATAGCTTTCCTGCTAATTAAGGATCAACTGTGATTTAATATGAAATATATGTAATGCGCTCATAAAGTAAAATTTAGTAATAATCCTCTACATCAAAAAGAATTATAGTTACCTTAAGGACGTCTTGAGACTCCAAAACATCTTTCAAACCCCCATCCTCCATTAACTGAGGACAAGAAAGGAGATCAAATAAAAAGATATGCTCATCAAGAGTAGCAAACTGCAACAGAGTCATAGGACCTGATGGACCAAGATTCACTCCTTCTCCATCAAAAGAGATCACAGGATCTTTCAGAGAAAGTATATACTTTACAACTGAAGAGCACTCTTTTGTTTTAGTCACAATTTTGACCTTTTTCATCATTTTCATAATCGAACTGTCAACAACTTCTTTATTTGAAGTTGATGAGGTATTATACATCATACGATCTTTATAGTCTATGGCAGAATTATCTGCTACTGCTTTCATAATTTGAGTTTTCAACCTCTGTTGGAAAGACTGAGATCTGTCTTGATAACGACTGCTGCCACTAGTAGGGGAAGAATGAGAAGAATTTACTACAGTATTAGATGAAACGTTAGACTGACACTGAGGTAATGTCACTTGTGAATTGGATACATACATAGATGACTGACCCAAAGGAGATACTGTTGGTTTTCGTTCAACCACAGAAACAATATTTGACTGGACATGAAAGATTTGTGAACTCATCTTTAGAAATGCTAAAAGGTCCTGAGGATTATTGACCATTTTAGACCACATATCCTTTGGAAACCATGCTGTTAGATGAGCAAACAATTGACCAACTGGTAAAGGACCTCTGTGTTTCAAAACACTTTCAAAGAAATTTATAAGTTGGTTGGTAAGGTGAGGATCTAACTGCTCTTCTTCCGGTACTTTAGTAATCATTAGTGTTGTATCATTGCTTAAATTTTCTAGAACACTTTTTAACACTACATAATCATCTTTCACAACAAAAACGTCAGAATATTTTAATAAAAACTCTTTGAATTCTTTTCCGTGTTGACCAGATATGTGTCTAATTTCAGGAGTAGCCTGCGATCTATGACCAAGAAGACTTTTGATAGGCACTTCGGCATTTCCATATTGCTCTAACTTAGATCTAAAGTATTCAACAGCTTCATATGCATAATCGCGCTTACTTTTGCTATTTGGATCATCGTTTTCTGATGAGTAACAGGTCACACTTACTTGATCATCGTTAATTGTAAATAAAGATGGATACTGAGATAAAAATTTACGAAGTCCAGACTGACTACCACCAGCAATCTGTCGCATTTCTTTGGTGAAACCTTTCGTACCAAATTGGCATGACAAATCATGAAGAGTACGAGGCTGACCCTTGTCAATTAACCGATCTAAAAAAAACATTAGGGTCATATTTCTAATGTGATCGTAATCCTTGCTGTCCATGGCTACTTAAAATCTTAAATCTGATCAGTAATTTTGGCACAGTAGGAAGTAAACATACTGCAAACGCAGCTATGAAACCGCTGATTATCACTTAGGAACCATCTTGAATTACGACAAGCTACCGAAGGTCACGTGACAATAACAGCTATACCAAAGAATCTAGGGTCCCTGCATTTAATCACAACCGAGAGATCTCACTGTTTATTTTCATGTCTGTGTCTGTCTGTCTGTCTAAGGAATGTTTCATATAAAAATTGGAAATGGCCAAAGAGATTAGAATAGAGGGAGGAAGGCTTCGCAGCTTCCTCCACTATCGGGGAATGAAACTCCATGTTTGTAACTTCAAAACATTGCATTACGGCTGTTCTAAGCGATTCCGTGTTTCTAAGCGATTCCGTGCATGTATTTTCCAGCAAAAATATGTTAAATTTATAATGAACTGCTTCGCTGCTGTTAATTTCTTGTTTTAAAGTTATAAAGATGATATCTGTAATTTACTACGTGTGGAAAATCATTAAGAAATAGTTCGAAATCTAAATGCATTTTAAAGCTTTTAAAAATGATGTTTCTGCATATATCAAGAATTTGTTTAGGTTTTATTAGCAACCTGTTGGGTGTACTTTCCAATTTGTCTTTTAAGAAGTGAAATTTCTGATTTATTTACAATATTACCACAATTTATTAAAGAATCATTTCATATACAAAATTTAAGAGATAGGAAAGAAAGTTATTTTAGTATGCTTAAATACTTCAGCTTTAAGTTGTAATACACTGAAACAGAAATTCAAATATTATTTTTTATTGGCTATAGCAGTTATTGTAATAGCTAATTTCAGGAGACCTGTACAGTCGGTCACAAAAGTATTCGAACACCGGTACCCTATCAGAAAATGACAAGATGGCGTTTTTTTAATCTCTCTCTCTCTGTGTGTGTCGTGTTATTCCGTCCTAGGTTATCTTCTCCCCCCCCCATCTTGGAAAAAATTGGTCACGATCTCTTTTTGAAGGAAGGGATGCCATTTTGAGAAAAAGCAGACGACCCTATCTTGGAGAACGGAAATGAACGCCTCTCCCTCTCTCTTTGAATTGGGAAGCCATTTTGGGAAAAAAGCAGACGACCCTATCTTGGAGAACGGAAATGAACGCCTCTCCCTCTCTCTTTGATATGGGAAGCCATTTTGGGACCCTCTTCTTCTGATCTTGGAGAACTGGAAATGAACGCTCTACACGATCTCTCTTTGAATTCAGAAGGTATTTTAGGACCTTCTAATGTTGGAAAACTGAAATGAACGCTCTACGCCTTCTCTCTCTCTCTCTCTTTGAGATGAGTAGCCATTTTGGAGGATTCTCCACCACCCCCCTCCCATCCTAACCTTGGAAAACTGAAATGAACGCTCTACACCTTCTCTCTCTCTGAAATGGGTAGCCATTTAAAAACTCCCTAACTTTGGAAAAAACAGAAATGAATGCTCTACACCATCTCTCTTTGAAAATGGGGGGGGGGTGCCATTTTAAGATCTTTCTCCCCTAAACTTAGAAAAAAAACTGAAATGAACGCTCTACACTCTCTCTCTTTGGACATGGGTAGCCCTTTGGGGACCCTCTCGTCTTGGTAGAAAAAAAGAACTGAAGTGAAGGCTCTACACAATCTCTCTTGCAATGGGATCCATATTTCGGGAAACGTGGAGCACCTCATGCTGGAAAACTGAAGTGAACCACCAAGATTGGACTCTATATAATATTTTTTTTATTGATATCATGACCCTCCTCCCATTTGTTGAAAAAAAATGTTTTTTTTTTTGGTTTTTATCCCATTTCCGATGTGATTTCAGAAATGCAATTCCATAACAGTTCAATTTCATTCGAGGTTAACTGATCTAAACAGTCTTTGACCCACCCATCCGTATGATTATTTTCTTCTTCCTGTTCCATCAAATTTTGTAAGTCCATATAATCATTCCATACGGGAAGGGCTGGATCCTCGCAAGGCTGTCTTGAAACACTTGGAGTCTCTTTGGGATGAGTGGAGGGATCTAGGATGTCTGGACCCGGCTGCGATTCTGCCTCCATGATTTCTGGACCCGTTGGAACTTGTGGACCCGGCTGAGATTCTGCCTCCATGATTTCTGGACCCGTTGGAACTTGTGGACCGGGCTGTGATTCTGCCTCCATGATTTCTGGACCCGTTGGAACTTGTGGACCCGGGCTGTGATTCTGCCTCCATGATTTCTGGACCCGTTGGAAGCTTGTGGACCCGGCTGAAATTCTACCTCTACGATTTCTGGACCCGTTGGAACTTGTGGACCCGGCTGTGATTCTACCTCCATGATTTCTGGACCCGTTGGAACTTGTGGACCCGGCTGATTCCCTCTACGATTCGGGACTTTTGAAGCTTGTGGACCGTCTGACATTCTACCTCTACGATGTCGGGACAGGTTGGAGAAGAGGATACTGGAAGAGGTTCTGTCTGTGAGGAGTCCGAAAGAGGCTGCCTGTCTGAACAAGTCGGGGAAGAAGAAGAAGCAGAAGAAGCTTCTGGTTTCTGAAGCGGATCTTGCACGCCAGGTAGGTTCCGGTAAGTCGACCGTTTTTAAGAGGTAATTTTTTTTCTTCCTCCTCATCTTCAATCGTGATGACTTCAATTTCATTCCGTTGCCGGGTCGATTTTGTTTCGGGCCATGACGGTTTGGTCCAGCTCCTCTTATCATCTAAGGAAGGGATGGGTAAAGGTGGCGGGGGTTTTCTCCTCTTCTTCTTGAAACACCATCGGCGATTGGAAAGAAATCTCCTTTTTCAATTGTTTCCAAAGCGAGTACGAGCACCGATCGACGAGAAAGAGACTCTTCTGGGTCGTGACGATGAGATATTGCGTTTTCGGGGGAACGACATAGTTTTGAAAAGGTCTTAGAATATATTTCTTATATTTCATCCTGTCGCTGACTTTAAAACTTCTTTCCTTCAGATTGGGGGACGATGATTCGTAATAGGCGAGAGGAGCGGCTGTGGTTTGAACAATATGAACTTCGTCCTCAGCCGTCGTTCTCACTCCAAACGTAAAGTATCGTTTCGTGAGAAAAATATTCTTCCACCGAAAACTCGTGCGCGGATCCGTATATCGCCGGTCTGTTTGAATGGGCCGTCTCAAAGCTCGATCCATCCGATTCCAAGAGAAGGGAGATTCCTCTTTCGTTTGTTGCGATTCGAATAAATTTCTGTATATATTCTGAACGAGCAGGTTGGAGGATTCGACATCTTGGTTGAAAGAAACGATCGCTTGATGAGCTGGTAAATGCGGAATAAATGTCGCACAATGACACGCCAAAAAGATTTTCAGGTTGGCGATTTGCTTTAGCGTCTTCAAATCCTCCCCGTTCGAAATCCGTTGAGTTGGAAAAACATCTAACAGCGACATGGCTCCCAATGGAAAAGAAATGATCTCGCCCAGTACTCTCGCCTTTTTATATATATAGACACACACAGACACATAGAGGCTCTATGACGTCCGTTTTATTTGTTTTTTTTTTTGTTTCTCTCTCTTCCTTTCCAAGAAATCTTATCTCCATGACCTCTTTTTCTTTTCTTAAAAGATGAATGTGTGTGGGAATGAGGAAGTGAAAGTAATAATTTAATAAACAAAAAAAAACTAACCAACCATGACCTTTTTCTTTTCTTTTTAGAGTCACCCTTTCCATCCCAAGGACGTCCAGAGATAGAGGAAGAAGGGAGAGAGGAGGGGGGAAGGTCACACTCTCTTTCTCTATAAATAAAAGGGGAGAGCCCCAAAAGTCGTATTTTTGTCCAAGTGGATCATGAGGAGGCATCCCCAGCTCACCACGTGTATTCCTTTCAAATATAAATATGTTGATCTTTCCTTTTATATCATCCAAGGAGTCGTTTACCTGAAAGCCTCCGATTTTTCAAAATGTGCGGGTTATCATACCGTGGGGAGTTGTCAAAAGATGCGGGACGAATTTTTGTCCGACGAAAACGTGTTGATGGCTCGTGACATTCCACCTTTGGATGCACAAATTTTGTTAATGAAACGAGCCAAATATTTTTACACGTCCCACTTTCTAACCGTCTCGCAAATGAATAGGATTATGGATCGTCTTGAGAAGACAAAAGGGATTCTCGTTCATTTTAGTGAATGGTTGCACAAATGTCTGCACGAACCTCTCTCGATCGAGAAGACTGGGAAGAATACCTATTATATTCTTCTCGAGGACTCTCCTCCTTCGTCTCATCTTAGAGAGGCTACGACTTTTGAAAAAATCCTCGAGCAAGAAAAAATAGAATGGTGGAACAACTACCCCATCCCTCTCCCCGAGCATCAAGAGGAGCCTGTTCAGAAGAAAAAGAAAAAACCTTTCCAAAAGCCTATCCTCATCCTCCTCGATAATGATGGGGATGAGGAGAAGCCTGTTCAGATTCCTCTCCGTTTTCAAAACCCGTCGAGGATGAAAAACCTCTCCCTTTCTCAAGACCCCTTGAGGAAGAGAGACCCCTCGAGAAGGAGAGATCTCTCCCATTGTCAAACCTCCTCGAAGATGAAAAACCTCTCCCTTTCTCAAGACCCCTCGAGAAGGAGGGACCTCTTCCTTTATCAAACCCCCTCGAAGATGAAAAACCTCTCCATTTATCAAGACCCCTCGAAAATGAGGGACCTCTCGATTTGTCAAACCCCTCGAGGATAAGGGAACCAAAACTCTCTCTCTCTTTCTCAAGACTCCTCGAAGAGGAGATCTCTCTTTCGAAGAGAGGACCTCTCAATTTGTCAAGACCCCTCGAGAATAAGGGAACCGAAAATCCTCTCCCTTTCTCAAGACTTCTCGAGGAGGAGGAGGAGAGACCGCTCCATGTCTCAAGACAGGACCCCCCTCTATCTCTTGAGGATCCGAGGGAAACGATTCCTATTGAAAAACCATCTATCGACGATCCCCAGAAAAGGTCTTCGGAGGAGATTAGACTTCCATGTAGAAAACGAATCTGCCACAATCATCATCATCAATAATAATAATAATACCCCCTTCTCAACAACAGAATCCTACAACATTTGCAGATAAATGCATTCAAACCAATCCCTTTATAGTAACCCTTTTGATTGGAG